AAAGAGACTGAAAATGAGTAAAACAGACTGGGACAGCTTCAAAGACGACTTAAGTAATCACCGCTCGATTAACCTACAAGGGAAAACAACAGAAGATATAGACTCAGAAATGGACAGACTGCACTCAGCAATAAAAACATCTATAACCAAACACACTCCTACTTCACACTTTAGAAAATTACCCAACAACAGACTACCAGAAGAAGTTAAATTAATCCAGACATATTACAATGAAATAAACAGGTATATGGAAAGACACGGCAGTAACAGATGGCTATATACGACACAGATATGTTACGAGTTGGGGATTTAGAATATAGTTATACGTCTACCCAGATCCCAACAGGTAACAACAATAAAAAAACAAAGACAATCGGACTATAAAAGGGTAGACAAAGGATGCGAGTTTTCGTTGTATATAATAGAGTACCATAAATCCCTTAACAAAATATTCAGCTTATAAATTACCCTTAACCAAACTTAACCTAAACATTAACAGTATATACATATTAATACAACATAAACAATTTTGAAGCAAGTGGACGTGGGGGAGTTAATACAAAATACTAGTACTTAAGTGAGGAGCTGAGATGGCTGACGAGTAAGACTGAGTATTGGAGAAGACGGTAGGTAGTCACTGCGACGTAGGTTTAGAGGATAGATGATCCTGTGGTCACTTCCCAGAGCCAAGTGCTCTCTCCTCGAATTGGAGCTCACAAAGAAGACTAGAAGGAAGTGACGCAACAACCAGGATATGGAGAAGGGAAACCCCGGAGTGTTAACTAAGACGAGTCATACTCGTGTCTCGTCCCTAGATGGCGTTGCTCGTGGTGCTGGGTAGGTAGATCAGGACAATAGATGGCGTGGTTCGTAGTGCTGGGTGGAGGGGTTCGTAACAGATAGCACTACAGATAAAATTAAGAGACGCATGTAAGGAAGCAAACAATAAAAAATGGAATGATATTATAATGGCGGCTGACATGACTAAAGACACAAAAACATTTTGGACTTCCATAAACAAGATGATGGGGCACAACAAGCAAAAAACACCATACATTAAAGACCAAAATGGAACAAAATTGCACGAGGAAAATGAACAAGAGTCAGCATTCAAAAGGGAATGGGTAAAAGTTTTTAAAATATCAGATGAGGAAAATGAAGATTTTGATAGTGAACACGAAGAAAGGATAGAAGACGAAATGGGAAGACAATACATAGAATCACCCCAAGGCAATATATAGACTATAACTTATTACCTAATAATCAAATAATAACCATGGGAGAAATGATGCACTGTCTGAGGAAGTTTAAGGAAAAAGCCCCGGGCTCACAGGTATTACACGAAATATGATCATGAATCTACCTGAAAACATTTTAAAAACACTATTAAACATTTATAACGCATGCTTAATAACTGGTTACTTTCCAGACAAACTAAAATATGCTAAAATGATATTTATTCCTAAGGAGGGTAAGGACAATAAGGAAATATTAAACTACAGGCCAATATCTTTATTAGAAATTACCGGGAAACTATTGGAAAAAATATTAAATTCAAGACTTATAGCCTTTTTAACACAACATGGGAAAACTAACAACAGACAACATGGATTTATGCCCAATAGAAATACCCTAACTGCAATAGCTACAATAACGGAAATAATTGCAATAGAAAAAAGCAAGGGTAACCAGATCAATATAATTTTAAGGGATGTTTCTAAGGCTTTTGATAAAGTTTGGCATTTAGGCTTGAAATATAAAATATTAAAACTGGGACTTAACGAATACTTGCTAAGAATATTGTGTAACTATTTAGATGATAGGAGAGCACAAATTCAAATTGGAAACTTTTTAGGAACTATGTTTAATCTTGAGAGTGGAGTACCTCAAGGAGGATGCCTTTCTCCAACACTATATACAATTTATACTTCAGACACACCTCAACCTACCCCCTTTAGCGAATATGTAATGTTTGCTGATGATATTACTCAAATAGTATCATACCCAGGAAAATCAACTCAATTTATGGCACTCTACACGGTAAGAGCGATAAAAAACATAAATGATTTTGAGAAAAAATGGAAAATCAGGACAAATAAGAACAAATTCAAGATAATACCAATAGCCAAGATTAAAACAAGTCCAGTAATAGTCGACCAGGAACTATACCCATACGACACTGAAGGTAGGATGCTTGGATTAAAACTAACAAAAAGAGGATATATAACATACTTAAAAGATAAAGAACGACAGGCAAGAATAAGATTATGAAAAATAAAACGCATTAAGAACCTTAGTATTAATAACAAAAGAAAGATTTATATTGCCCTTGTCAAACCAATTATGGACTACCCACCCATCCCATTGAACACCCTTAGTAAAACGTGCATTAAAAGGTTACAAACAGTACAAAATATAGCCCTCAGATTTATATATAACATAAAATATACAGACCACATCAATAATGAACAGCTACACAAGAGAGCAAACCTCTTAGCAATCAATGTAGATATACACAACAAAGCTGTAAATATTTGGAAAAAAGTGACTGAACTTAACACAGAAACATATCAAAACTGGATAAATAATATAGACAACGAAGAATTCCAAGAACACAGTTGGTTTAAATCAGCCAGGAAGAAAGTAATTGAACCATCTCCTGCCCCAATATACATATAAAACATTAATAGAGAGAATAAAAGATGAGAGTGACCTACCAGCTCCACAAGAACCTGGCAGGCCTCTCCATACAGCGTACCTTTAGACTAACATAACTAATATTTAACATTTAACATTTAACATTTAACATTGAACTAACATCTTAGTAAAAAAAAAAAAATAAATAAATAAAAATGTGACTACCCTCCCAGCTACACAAGGACCTGGGCGGGCTCACTAACTCAAAAAAAAATAAATAAATAAATAAATAAATAAATAAATAAATAAATATTAATAATATTAATAATAATAATGTGATTACCCTCCCAGCTATATCAGCCAGGAAGAAGTAATTGAACCACCTCCTGCCTCAACATACACATTTTTACATAAAACATTACTAGAGGAATAAAGATGAGAGTGACCAACCAGCTCCACTAAGAACCTGGCAGGCCTCTCCATACAGTGTACCTTTAGACTAACACAACTAACACTTAACTAACACCTCAAAAAAAAAAAAAAAAAAAATGTGATTACCCTCCCAGCTATATCAGCCAGGAAGAAGTAATTGAACCACCTCCTGCCTCAATATACACATTTCTACATAAAACATTACTAGAGGAATAAAGATGAGAGTGACCAACCAGCTCCACTAAGAACCTGGCAGGCCTCTCCATACAGTGTACCTTTAGACTAACACAACTAACACTTAACTAACACCTCAAAAAAAAAAAAAAATGTGACTACCCTCCCAGTTACACAAGGACCTGGGCGGGCTCACTAACTCCAACAATAACAAAAATAATAATAATAAGCAGCATTATATAAATAAACCAATATTAATACAAAGGTCTGACGACCCAAGGGAGCAGAACAAAGACAAAACACCAATAAGAAAGATGAAGCGATCTGGTTGAGCCCAGATTCTTTCTACTCCTACTGTATTTCAGTTTCACCACTTTTCCTTCAACTCCTAATAATCTTCTTTCACCTCTTAACTAAAGACTTCGTATCGTATCGTATCGACTTGTCTCTTTTCTATGTACACCAACCAGCCAGCAACACCTCCTCCTCCGCCTGCCTGGCGGTCCTCGCTCCCGCCGGAGAGCATGGCGACCCACAAGCTGGTCTTCCTCTGAGCATCCTCACCAACCAACTCTCTTCTTCTAGCTACAGCCGCAGCAAGCAACACCACCTCCTCCGCCGCTGCCTGGCGGCCCTCGCTCCTGCCGGCGAGCATGGCGACCCACAGGCTGGTCCTCCTCTGAGCATCCTCACCAACCAGCTCTCTCTACATCACGCTTGTAACCACGCTGCCACTTCCCAGCACCAAGCTGCATTGTACATCCAATACAACATGTATACAGAGAGCACATTGTGAATTTCCTTTCTCCATCCCATCCTGAGTGTGAACACAAACATCCCATCCCCACAAGAGTACTTGGGGTCATATAAAGGAGTGTTAGTTAGAAGACTAGCAAGGTCATCTTAAAACTATATCTTGCGCTTGTGAGACCCCACTTGGATTACGCAGTTCAATTCTGGTCACCATATTAAAGAATGGATCTAGAATCCTCGGAAACAATTCAGAGGAGAATGACAAGACTAATCCCGGGCATTAGGAGCCTTGAGTACAAAGACAGCTTAAAACTTCTTAATTTGCACACCCTCGAGAGACGTAGAGTGAGGGGCTATATAATCGAGGTGTATAAATGGAAGTCAGGGCTTAACAAAGGGGACATAACAAAGGTGCTCAAACTATCCAAGCTGGATAGTTTGAGTACCTGGTTGGATAACAGGAGCAAACTCGTAACAATGGTTTTAAATTAGACTAATTTAGATTTAGGCGCGAAATAGGTAAACATTGGTTTGGAAATAGAGTAGTGGATGAGTGGAACAAGTTACCAAATATCATCATTACTCAAATACGCGGGATAGCTTCAAACATAGGTTGGATGGATATATGAGTAATAGGGGTTGGGTGTAAATGGGACTGCCCAGTATGGGCCAATAGGGCCGCTGCAGTTACCTCTATTCTTATGTTTTTATGTTCACATTATTACAATTTCGCCCCCGAGGCCTCGATGTGGGTCAGTGACCTGTGCACCGGGTGGGCTAATCCCAGCCAAAAAAAAAAAGTCTTTTTGTGACATATTGATTTAAACACTTCAACAGTAAACTGTCTTTCCAATCCATGGGATGATTATTGTTCCTATTATGAACGAAAAGTCTAAACTCAAGTGTATACTAGTCAATTTTAACCCTATAGAGAGGGTTAAGGTATTCATATAATTAAACATGAATGGTGTCATGACGTCATCTTATACTCCAGCTGTCGCAAAGGAAAACTCGACAACCTCGAAACTCCCAAAGTGGGATACATACATCTACGTACTGCAACTGAGAGCTGGGAATTCAGGTAAATACTGTACACTCATTAATTATCACATATCATACAGTGTCACTTGAACGAAATCAGTATTATTTCGGTATTGTTATAATATAATCGATTTAATATATGAGCCTTGAAGAATAGAGCTAAGACAAACACAAACGTCATTCTCTTTATTATAATGATGTGTTATGCAGAACAGGTATATTCTGCTGGTACATGTTCATATCTTCTAATCTATTGAACTTATTCCTGCTTTCTATTTAAAAATAAATTATACTTAAAAATAATGCATTTTCTTAAATTGGCTTAGCTGCTAATGGCATTAAACGGCTTGTGACTTGTCAAAATATAACCTGTGTTTGAACTGTCAACAGTAAATTAATACCCTTGAGGCACCCACACACTGCTGACACTTGTGGCAATTATACAATGCTGACACTTATGGTACTTATACAATGCTGACATTTGAGACACCCATACACTGCTGACACTTGAGGCACCCATACACTGCTGACACTTGAGGCATTCATACACTGCTGACACTTGAGGCATCCATACACTGCTGGCACTTGAGGCACTCGTACACTGCTGACACTTGAGGAACTCATACACTGCTGACACTTGAGGCATCCATACACTGCTGACACCTGTGGCACCCATACACTGCTGACATTTGAGGCACCCATGCACTGCTGACATTTGAGGCACCCATGCACTGCTGACACTTGAGGCACCCATTCAGTGCTGACTCTTGAGGAAAATATTCACTGCTGACATTTGAGGTAAAATTACAGTTTATGCTTCACACAGCTTTTATGGCGAAATATATTGTTAAGAATGGTGCTCATGTCTACGCCAGCTTCTATAGAAAGAGTTAATATTTTATTAATTGGACTTTAGATATAGGCAACAGTACCTTTCAACTTCCTTGGGTGGTAATTGTTTTGGAGGTAAAGTCAAAATTTGAATTATTTATTGTAAATACTCCTCAGAAAAGTCTGCCAAGTCACTACGTGTCATCTGTTTATTTACAACTGACTCGCTCGGTCAGAGCGTAACTCTCACATCCACTAAAAAGGTAAAATTACACCATAAAGCTTCAAAAAGTTGCTTTCAATAGTACCAAATATCAAAATAAGTACTTTCTGTTTAATATGGTGGGGGGCCCAAGCTTGGAAGTTAGGTTAGGTTTCTTTGATTGGTTAGTTCTATATATGACTCTCTGACATTTTCTCATAGATGGTGATTTTCCAAAGAAAATGGTCAGATTTAAACATCGCACACCAAAATATACCAGAAAAATATATTCTCCCGTAAAAAACAAAGGGGACATTAAAACAAATAATTACCACAGATATGTTTTTCTGATGGTATTTAATGTGATTAAAATAATTCTGACCCTTATTTCCATCGCATGTGACTCGTTTCTCAGAGATATCCCCCTCCCCATAACAATAATGGGGGTTTTGAGTGGGTGGGGGGGGAGACTGGAAGCGAGTATTTTACGGCATGAATGAAGGTCAAGAATCGTTCGGATCTCATCGAAAACCACGGGAAAACTCGCTTTTCAAAGAAAAATTCTGAAAAACTAGATTTTAAGTATGCTTCCTAACGTATCTAACCTAACCCCACAGACCCACAGTGCCCAACCTCACGCCCCACAGGGCTTTTATGGTGAAAGATGCAACTTTTTTATTATTCCTTTGTGAGGGAAAATGTTATATATTACTGTACAAATAATTGTATAAAGGAATAATTTATATTATTACAGCAACAACTGTATTTATTTACTTTAAATGTTGATTGTTTATATGTAGACTCACTGTAGGGAGGTGGATTTATATGGAGACTCACTGTAAAGGGAGCAGGAAATACACATGGGATTTAGAAGACTGTGCCTCAATCTATCCTACATAAATAGCCTTAAGAAATGAAGATACCACAGGAAACATATAGAAGAAAGGTTTCTTATAAATGTCTAAGCTATCAATTGCATATCACAGAAATTTTGTAACTACTGCGGGGCATGAACAGTATGCGAGGTATTAATGCCCTCTTGAGTCACTATGAACTGCTGATACTTGAGGCGGTAATGTCTGGGAACTGCACTACAACAACTCCTTCTGGTGGTAGTGCTGTTCTAAGACTGTACTTTTTATTTATTTATTTAGTTTTTCTTTATCTACAATCATATGTCACCTGTAGTGAGCAGGGCATGAAGGATGAGGGAAACTGCGGGGCAAAACACAGTGGAAAACTGATCTTGCAACACCAAAATGATGTTTCTAAGTGTTTTGTATGTGAACAAATTTATTATTTACTGTAAATACTCCCCCGAAAAATCTGCAGAGTGACCACGTGTCATCTGTTTGTTTACAACTGACTCGCTTGGTCAGAGTGTACACTCACGTCCACAAAAACGTAAAATTACACCATGCTGCTGCAACAAAGTTGCCTTAATTGGTACCAGATATCATAGTAAGTACTTTCTGATTAATATGGCAGGGGGGTCCTACTTGGCTTAGAAGTTAGGTATGTTTCTTTGGTTGGTTAGGTTCTAGTAAATGTTGCATCTTTTAAAATACTTTCTATAATAATAACATCATCTGTGGAAAAATTAAAACAAAATCAAATAACCCCTTCTGGTGGTAGTAGTGTTCTCACTCTTGAGGCACCTATAAAGTGCTGACCATTGAGGGTACAGTATTATTTTATTTTCAAACAACATGGTAATCTTAGGGATTTTATCTTTACAATCAATATTTTAAACAATTGTAAGACACTATTTTTTTTTAAAGACGTTTCCTTCGTAAATGACTTGACCTAACCTTTGTACAGGGTAAATGACTTGTATATGTCGGGGGTCCCGGGTGGCAGAGCCTCCCCGTTAGGAAGTTAGGTTCCATATCCAAGTCCCCTATTTCCAGCCATTCAAAGACAGGCAATTCCAAGTCACTCTCCTCAAACTTTTTTGGTTTGATTAAAAGAGAAAACATTTGGGCCAGTGTGCTGGAAGTCTTAAAATTTGGCAGAGAACTCATCGTTCAGGTCTTACATGAATACAGCTATTATGTAAGACTAACAGAATTATGTGCAGACCTTGACCAGGTGCTTGAAGTAGAGCAAAGTTGCAGTTTCAATGTCCACCAAGTAAACTGTTAACTTTGCAACAAAACCCTTTCAAATGTCATACAGTTAATCACTGTCTGTCCTGCACCCTGCAGGTGAAGGCTAAGATCATTGAGGTGCTTGATGATGTCTGACCACCCACTTGTCTTCTTCCAGCTTGGGGTATTTTTATCCCCTTTCTGTTAATAAGGTCCTAATTTCATTAAAACATTTCAAACCACTCTTAAAAACCTTCCCACAACTTACCCACCAAATACTGGAGTGAAGGGGTATGTCTCCATACACACACTCCATCTCATCAAGAAGACACCAATATTATCTGTGTGTAAGAGCAGATCATGCAACAAGAAAACTGTATTCAATTTTTTTTTCACAGTTACCATCACCTTATTAATGTCTGATTTTGAAATTCTGGCACAAAGATAATGCACTGCGACTAAAGGATGGGGGTGTCCAATTTCATCCTCAATTAACTTGGCAATTCCCTTGTGTTTTCCTACCATAGCAGGAGCACCATCTGTTGTAACTGCAAATATTTTTTTAAATGTTAACTCTTCTCTCCTCAAAATGACGAGAGAATGTTTTTACCATGTCAATTCCCTGTGTACTGTACTGTACTTTACTATGTACTGAACTTTACTATGTACTGTAGTGTACTGTACTTTACTATGTACTGTACTATGTATTGTACTGTACTTTAATATACTTTACTATATTCTGTTCTGTACGAAGTATGGTACTGTCCTATGTACTGTACTGTACTATGTACTGGATTGTACTGTACTGTGTACTGTACTGTAATGTACTGTACTGTGTACTGTAATGTACTGTAATGTATTGTACTGTAATGAACTGTACTGTGTACTGTAATGTACTGTACTGTGTACTGTAATGTACTGTACTGTGAGCTGTAATGTACTGTACTGTAATGCACTGTGTACTGTACTGTACTATGCACTGTACTATGTACTGTAATGTATTGTACATGTGTACTGTAATGCACTACACTGTATTATACTGTACTGTAATGTACTGTACTGTGTAATGTACTGTACATATGTACTGTAATGTGCTGTACTGTGTATTATACTGTACTGTGTACTGTACTGTACATGTGTACTGTAATGTACTGTACTGTGTATTATACTGTACTGTGTACTGTACATGTGTACTGTAATGAACTGTACTGTGTATTATACTGTACTGTACATGTGTACTGTAATGTACTGTACTGTGTATTATACTGTACTGTGTACTGTACTGTGTATTGTACTGTAATGTACTGTACTGTGTATTATACTGTACTGTGTACTGTACTGTGTATTATACTGTACTGTGTACTGTACTGTAATGTTCTGTATTGTGTATTATACTGTACTGTGTACTGTACTATAATGTTCTGTACTGTGTATTATACTGTACTGTGTACTGTACTGTAATGTTCTGTACTGTGTATTGTACTGTACTGTGTATTGTACTGTACTGTTTACTGTAATGTACTGTACTGTGTACTGCAATGTACTGTACTATTTACTGTACTGTGTACTGTACTGTGTACTGTAATGTACTGTACTATGTACTGTACTGTAATGTACTGTACTATGTACTGTAATGTACTGTACATGTGTACTGTACTATGTACTGTAATGTACTGTACATGTGTACTGTACTATGTACTGTAATGTACTGTACATGTGTACTGTAATGCCCTGCACTGTGTATTATACTGTACTGTGCACTGTACTGTAATGTATTGTACTGTGTACTGTACATATGTACTGTAATGTGCTGTACTGTGTATTATACTGTACTGTGTACTGTACTGTACATGTGTACTGTAATGTACTGTACTGTGTATTATACTGTACTGTGTACTGTACTGTACATGTGTACTG